CAGAAACACATACAGGGCAAAGCGGTTACCACAATGAGCCAGTAATACAGCGACATGTTCACTCGATCTTCAACTGTTCTCACAAGCAGCTGGACAGAAACTAAAAGGAAACGATTCACTTCCTTCAAACCAATCAGTGAGATATTGGTCAGAGTTTCAAGCCCGCCCTCCGCTCTCCAAGTTGGTTATTTGCAATATAAACAGAAAATGTTGGAAATACTGAAGCAGCAACTGTGGAGAGAAAAACAGAGTTAACGTTTCAGAACCCTAAGCTTGAATAAGTTGAGATGTTGACGGTGTGAACCCCGTAAATAGGAGGGAAACAGGGAATGGGAAGGTTTCAATAAAAGGGGAATCTGTGACCGGTGGAGGACAGGAGAGTTAACTATCGCAAGGGATGGCGGTGCAAAGGGAACGGTGATGGTGATGGGAAGTGAACAGAAACGAAAGCACATAACGTCCCACCAACTTTCCAATACAACGCATCCTCCGCTGACATTTGCGCCATCGACAATCGGAACCCACCACCGAAAAGTTCTCTCCCCACCCCTGTCTGCTTTCCGCAAGGACCTTTCACACCCTGACTCCCTTGTTAGCCCCACACTCCCCACCGAATCCTGGACCACACCCAATACCTTTCCTAGCAACCACAGGAGGTGCTACACCTGCCCCAAACCTCCCCTATCACCTCTGTTGGAGGCCCCAAATAATCCTTGCAGATTCAGCAGAAATTCATCTGCACTTCATCTAACCTCATCAACTGTATCCTTTGCTCCCAGTGTGGTCTCCACTATATCGGAGAGACCAAATGCAGACTCCCGACCGGTTTCGCTCTGCACACACTATCTAACCTGACCTTCCAGTTGCCATCCACCTTAACTCTCCCTCCCATTCCCCGGTGACATGTCCATCCTTGGCCTCCTCCACTGTCAGAGTGAGGCCAAATGCAAACTGGAGGAACAACACCTGGTATTTTGCCTTAGGAGCCTACAGCCCAATGGCCTGAATACAGACTTCACCAGCTTTAAAATGTCTCCTCGCCCAACCTGTCCAATTTCCCACCCTCCTATCCGCTCCAGCGTTCCCACTGACCAACCACAATAACTCCCACCTGCATCACCAGTTTCAAAATCTCTCCACCCCCAACACATCCATCTTCCTACTCAACTGCTGCTCGGATGCTGTCTTTTCCACATCCACAGTTATTTACTCTAGCTCCCAGCATGTGCAGTCCCTTTTGTCTCCCGGAAACAAAATTTGCAACGAGAGAAGTTGGAAACGGCAACAGCAGAATCATGAACAAAAACAAAGTTGCTGGAAAAGTTCAGCAGGTCTGGCAGCATTTGTGAAGGGAAGAACAGAGTTAACGTTTCGGGTCCGGTAACCCTTCCTGTTCTTTCCGGACTCTTCCCACTGGAGAAATTTATTGATTCTTATCTACCCTCTCCTCTCCCTTTCTCATTTCAAGTAGCTCAATTAGATTAGTTCTTTATCATCTAAATTGAAGAGAACGCAAGCGAAGATTATTAAATCTGTCTTCATACCAACATTTTAATTTGTGAATGAATGGGACTTTGCTGGAATGTGCGTCTTTTTTTATGCTGTTGTGGTAGAATATTGCACGAAATAATGTCAGGAGCCGTCCGATACAAGTCAACGGTCCTTTATTGAGCCAATATTGGGTAAGACTATTCGAGCAAAAAATTCCGAGTTAATAGTCCAACTCATTGAGGATGTTTATACATTGCTTGTCACATGGACAGTACATTACTCCAAATCAGAAATAGCCTGTTTTCGACAGCAACATTGTTTGTTGCACATTCGAAAAGTGGCATGGCCAACCATGGTCCCTACTCCCGATCTTCCCAGGTGCCATCCCATTTCCTCTGTGAAGCCCGTGCTTCATTCATGTCCTTGACTGATCCCGATTGCTTTGTCTTTCCTGGTGTGGTACCGAGTCATTGTTACATTCCATTTCCAACTCAGGCTTCCGGATTAATGCTGCTTCGGCCACTTTGCATTTTCACAGAAACAGTGCTGCATTTGAGCGTGTTTGTACAGTTTAACTCACTGTTCTTTTAGCCTGACTAAGAATATATGAAAATGGACCTTAAATCATTTGTGAATTTCTCTAGAATCTTCTTTCTCTCTCTCACGCAAGCCGGAACTCAATTTGGATTTATAGGCTAACTTATGTCATACCCAAAAAGGCCCCTCAGAATTCAAAACAAAGGGCACACCTCAAATACACATCCGCCAATATATACTTAGCCTCATGTTAAATTTTGTTTTACAATGCATCTCCCGAGACTAGGTGGGACGATTTCCTACGTATAACAGCGCTTTATAAATGTAAGTTGGCGTTCTTTGTGTGGTAGCTGAGAGAGAAGCGAGCTGAAGCGCCGCGTTTTTGTAAAGGCTTTCTGTCTCTGTTGAACACTGTGCTGTCCCAATAGGCGCAGTAATATGTGGCAGCGTCTTCCTTCACGATGTTATTGATTATCAAAGTGCACAAAGTGTTCCTCTTATCTGCTTTAAACCTGCTGCTGAATTCCGGATCCCGTACGACGCTGCTGTCATAATAAAGTATTCTGGAGGGCGCCTGACCCTCCCGCTGCTGGTACCAATGGACAACGGTGCTCTCGCTGTCTACGGTACATTTAAATCTGGCACTTTTACCGAGCTTGGTTACATACGACATTGGTGACTGTGTTATAGACTCAGCCAAACGCCCATCTGGGAAAATAAAATTAACAAAGTTACGTTAAAAACGATGATGAATGATGGATTGACAACTAAGTAAACTTAAGTAAAGACACTTAAATACGTACAGGATAAAAGTAGCGCCACAATCACCCGGAACATGGTGCAGTGACCGGCTCGCTCAGTACTGGGTTACTGTCGCTCAGGGTCATGTCTATAAAGGAGGCGAGCTCTCTTCCACCTCCCCCACGCCCACACCCCCACCCCGCCCCCCAACGGCGGGAATTTCCTCTCTCAGCATAAATTGAACCCGCCCACTTTGATGCGTCTTTATAGAATGCGAGACTGCTTACTCTACGTCTCTGTAAGTGTTTCTTATTTGTTTTCTTTTGCTTTCACAGACACGGGAAGTATTAATTCAAAATCCTGTTTCGCATTGTAAATTTTAAAGAAATTGCTCCGAGTTAATCTGCTCGCTAGCACCAGACTGGGAGGTGTGTGCAGGTCGACTCAGTGAGTGGTGTGGTCGGGGCGAGGAGTGAAGCAGACACAACTGTAACAAAAAGATCAAACTTAACAGTGAATTCGCTCCATTCTCTCGAAGTGTAGATTCCCGAAATATTGACAAAGAAATATATGTTCTGAACTCCTAATCATCTTAACTAAAGTTATTGTTTATGATCCTGCTGTTCCCAGTAGGAAATCTATGGCAAGCATCCCAACAAAATCTACATTCGGGGTACAAATGATTATTCACTGATAGGCGTAGTTCATCGGCCACCAAATAATGACATGTCAGTGGGGCGGGCAATGAACAAAGGAATAACTGATGCATGTAAAAATAGTGCGGCAATTATCATAAGGGATTTTAATCTGGATATTGATTGGTCAAACCAAGTCGTTCAAGGCAGCCTTGAGGAGGAGTTCCTAGAATGTATCTGCCATAGTTTCCTCGAACAGTATGTAACAGGACCTACGAAGGAGAAAGCTATCTTGATCTGGTACTGTATATTGACACAGGAATAATTAAGGAATTCATAGTTAGGGATCGTCTGGGAAGGAGCAATCACAGTTTGTATGATTTTAAAATACAGATGGAAAGTGAGTAGGTAAAATCCAAGAACAATGTCTTATGCTTAAACAAAATACAGTTCGATCGGCGAGGTGTTGGCTAAGGTAGAATGGAGCAAAGACTATATGTTGTGACAATTGTGGAACAGTGGAGAACTTTCAAAGCGATTTTTGACAGTGCTCAGCAAAAATATATACCAGTGAAGAGGAAGGACTGTAGGAAAACAAATAATTAGCCATGGATAACTAAGGAAATAAAAGAGGGTGTCAAATTGAAATCTAATTCATACAAAGTGGCAACGATTAGTGGGAAACTAGAGGATTGGGAAATGTTTAAAAGTCAACAGAAGGCCACAAGAAAAGCTATGATGCAAGGTAAGATAGATTATGAGAGTTAAACCAGCTCAGAATATAAAAACAGATAGCAAATATATAAAGCAAAAGAGTGTCTAAGATAAGCATTGGTCATTTAGAGGATGAGAAGGGGATTTCATAATAGGAAATGAGGAAATGGCCAAGGCGTTGAGCAGTTATTTTGTGTTGATCTTCACAATGGAAGTCACAACAAACATGCCAATACTTGATGACAAGGAGGCTTTGGCAGGTGAGGACCTGGAAAAGACCATTATCACTAACAAGCTAGTGTTGGGCAAGCTGATGGGGCGAAAGGTAGACAAGTCTCCTTGCCAATGCGCTTGTGGTAATTTACCAAAATTTGCTGGACTCTGGGGCAATTCCAGCAGATTGGAAAACAGCAAATGTGATGTTGCTGTTATAAAAAGGAGGTAAACAAAAGACGGGTAACTATAGGTCTATTAAACTATCTTCTGTAGTAGGGAAAATGCTTGAATCTATTAGCAAGGAAGAAATTGCAAGACATCCTGACAGAAATTGTCCCATAGGGCAGAGGCAGCATGGGTTTATGAAAGGCAGGTCATTTTAAAATTAATTACTGGAATTCTATGAGGGCATTACGAATGTGGTGGGCAACTGGGAATCAACGGGTGTATTGTTTCTGGATTTCCAGAAGGCATTCAACAAGGTGCCACACAACAGGCTGCTGTATAAGATAAAGGTACACAGCATTACAGGTAACATATTAGCATACATAGAAGATTGGATAACTATCAGAAAGCAAAGAGAGGAGATAAATGGTTGTTGTTCTGGTTGGCAATCATTGGCTGGTGGTGTGCCTCAGGGTGTGCCTCAGCTGGTGGAGCTGAGTCCATGAAAATATTAGCCATGACCTTATTGAATGGAAGAGCAGACTCAATGGGCCATATGGCCTATTCCTGCTCCTATTTCTTATCTTCTTATGTTATGTTGCTCGATTTATTGTACTCATGATATAATAGATTAATGATCTGGAGATATGATTGAAATTCCATTAGAGAATCTAGAATTTTAAATTCAGGCAATTAGAGTAATTTTAAAAGAAGTGTCAGCAACAATACCCAATAAACAATGATACTGTTGAAACAAACGCCCTTCCCAGGAGGAAGTCTGCCGTCATTACTGAGTTTGGCCTATATGTGATTTTGGATCCACAGCAATAGCCACTCTATAAAAATTCCAACAGCTATTCAAAATGAAACACTACACACTACACTGAGAGAACCTGCACCACACATCACACCACACCCCCCGCCCACCACCCCAGCAAAGGATTATTATCACCACTTTCTGCTGGACAATACGAAGCAACCTCGTCAGTGTGACTAAATTTACAAAAAATGAATTCCCAGCTGGGACAATCTCTGAGTTCTGTAAAATGAACAAATGAGAGAATATGACAAAGCTATGCACACTTTGGAACTGTCAATCCATGTTTTAATGTTTGTGCCTATCACATAAATTCGGGAGACATCGATGGTAATCTATTTGTTGATGATGTATTACATTTAGAATTGCCTGGGATCCAATGCTACTCACTGCCTTGAAAATAGATTAACTACTGGGAGCAGTGATTCCTGGAGACTCGATGAATACTGTTTTCATTTCTCCTCTTCAAGAGAATTGGAAACTATTGACTGGAATGTACAGGCTGCATTTAATCCCAGTCTTGACAGTTTAATGAATCATAGATACTTGCATTGCAAATGGAGGCCATTCAGTTTATACTGTGTGTTTTGTCTAGCCATTTGGAAGTGCCATTAGATTAGACACACCTTCTATTATTTCCTCATGGCTCTTCAAACCTATTTAGCATTGAACAATTTATCTAACACAATTGAATTAACACCCATCCCGTCTCTGACAGCATTCTACAACACAAAAACTTTGCTGTTCAAGTTGTTCATGTCTCTTCTTCTTCTTTAGCCAATTAAATTTTAATTAGAGATAGTAGAACTGCAGATGCTGGAGAATCTGAGATAACAATGTGTAGAGCTGGATGAACACAACAGGCCAAGCAGCATCAGAGGAGCAGGAAGGCTGACGTTTCGAGCCTAGACCCTTACATGAAAAAGGTCAAACTCAGAATTGCGAGCAAGAGAGCATTCTACGCTCTATTACCTTTGGTTAAAAAATGACTGCCAGTGCAAACATTTCCTTTGTATTTACTCTAGTAAAACTATGCATGACTGTCAAACAGCTGCATTAAATCTTTCTTTAACTTCTCCTGCTCTAAGGAGAAAAATTACAACTCGGTTCTCACTCCAGAACTGAAATGTCCCCGTCCCTGATTTCATCCTCATCATTCTGCACACATTCTTCCTGTCCCATAATTTGAAAATACACACTTCTGGCAGCTTGCCATTTTAATGCTGCACCTTGCTCAAAATTCTGAGTTTGACCTGTTGTGTGCTTAATTGAAATTCAATACAAGCTCAAAGATTAGCACTTTATTTTACTATTAAGCACTTTACAGCCTTCTGGACTCATTATTGACTTGAAAAATTTCAGAACTCTGTTCCCAGTTTTGGTTCTGATTTAATTCCACATGTCAGTCTGATAAAAGTTTTCCTTGTGTTTGTTTTTGGAGCTAGCTGTTCATTGTTCTATTATTCATACTAACTGTAGCTGAATGTTTTGTTTCATTTCAACAACCGTGACCAATCCTTTTGCTGTTTGTTCTGTGGCATCTTTGGCATTAGCCTCTTCTGACTTTGACCCAAGCCCAGACCTTCCTTTTGCTTTTCCTCTGTTCCCTCAATTCCCTTTCCTCAGTGGCATTAAACATGAAGTCTGAAGTAGTGTTATATTTAATTAAAAACAATAATGCTTTTTCTCTATCCACAGGTAATGCCAGACCCATTGAGTATTGTTACTTTTATTTCTCATGATTGAATAATTTTCTCAAGATGAATAACTGCAAAGAATAAGGCAAAATGTGAGGTCGATGCACTAAGTAAGTTTTTCTTCCAGATTGGCAGCAAACACAGGTTCAATGGCTCCTTGTTATACCACAGCCATTCTATAATTCAGTGAACTGGGGAAAAGAACATACATACATCACTATTTCCTGCTTTCTAACATGTAGACAATTTATTTACCATGCAGCCATTGTGAATTTAATTCCATGGTTTTCAATTTGGACAACAAGTCCATTTTGATTCCTTAGCAAACGCCTTTTGGAAATCTGTAGAGAGAATATGAACACTATTTGCCATGTCGAGTCATTCCAATATTTCAAAGACACTGCTTAATTACATACAAAGTTGGCTACCCAATGACAAAGTCTACTGCACCAATCATTAATATCATGGCTGATTTATTACTCCACATTCTAGTCTACCACCAACAATGTTTCACACCCTTGCTTATGAAAAATCTATCAACCTCTGTATTCAAAATGTTCAGAGACTCTGTTTCCACCACCATGTAAGGAAGAGTGTTTCAAAGACCAGTGATCACATGTGAAGGAAAAAAACGTCTCCTTACTTCTATCCTATATTAGTGGCCCCTTATGTTTAAACATTGATCCCTAGTTCTAGGTTTTCCTACAATTGGGATGTTAAAGACCAGACCACACCCATTGGAATATATTAAGAAGATAGCCTAGATCTAACTTTTTCTTATTTCAAATGTAAATGTGAGGTCCTGTATTCCATGGGCAATACGATTGGTCAAACTACTCAATGTTAAGCAAAATGCAATTTATTCAC